ACAACCAACTACTACTACGGTCGTCGTCGGTTCGTTTCGTTTAGTTAACTTAACTATACGTACGTAGTGACACTAACTACTACACACACACACACACACACACACACACACACACACACACACACACACACTAAACTTAACGCTCGTGACTTCAAGCTGATCTTTGCAGAGATGCGTCATTATTTTGTAGTTGGTTCTTATCAAGTGATTTTACCCCTTTTTTGTATCTAAACCTAATAGTTTTGCAATTTAAAAAGTTATTATTTCTGGTGTATTTGAACTGCTACATAGTTTCTATTAACAATTTTCTATATAAACTTGCAAATCATGTTGTTGTTGTTGTTAAATATTATAACTTATAAAATAATTTACGTGATTCCCGACAACTACAGCCTTTCAGTGTCTGGCTGTTCCAGCTGATCTTTCACTCCTGTTTTTCTTAACCTTGTGACCTCCCGGTGGGCCAACAGTAAGTCTGAGGACTTGGTCTTAAAATCCAGGTTTCTGCGGTGAACTGAGCGCAGATAGCCCACCGTGTATATATATGTGTTGATAACAAAAATAACTTTAACCTAGTGTTCCAAGAAACAGCTGAATAACTAAATATCTACAGCTTTTTCACTTGAACGGTTTAGTTAATGTTTTCTGTTCTCGGCTGAATGACTAAATATCTACAACGGTTTCACTTGAACGGTTTAGTTAATGTTTTCTGTTCTCGGCTGAATGACTAAATATCTACAACGGTTTCACTTGTACGGTTTAGTTAATGTTTTCTGTTCTCGGCTGAATGACTAAATATCTACAACGGTTTCACTTGTACGGTTTAGTTAATGTTTTCTGTTCTCGGCTGAATAACTAAGTATCTAAAAAATGTTTCACTTGTACGGTTTAGTTAATGTTTTTCTGTTCTCGCCTGAATAACTAAGTATCTAAAAAATGTTTCACTTGTACGGTTTAGTTAATGTTTTCTTTTCTTTTTGAAGAGTTCGACGATCGGCGATTGGCCCATACCGAGAAGCAGCGTTACGACGGATGGTACAACAACCTAGCCCACCCAGAATGGGGTTCAATAGGTACGTTCCTCTACTATCTTACAGATAAGTGAAGCACAAAGCACCGTAATTAATGCTGACTAGAGATGTATTATTAATTTTTGTAGATTTTAGCAAAACTACGGAAACTTGTTTATTCTATTAGTTAAATATTTAGTTTGTTTTTTTTTCAAACTAAACGACACCTTGTTCGATACACGGCCACCCCTACTTTTGAACTGCTGATCAGAGGAAAAGTAACAAATTGGCAGCATTCCGCCATCTTCACCGATACTCTTGGTTGAAGTAACTATCGTGGCTATATCAGTTGTATGGTTAAGTGCTGAGCACGTTCGGCGACATCTCGCGGGCTCTTAAACCACTTTACAATACACTGGCTAGTAAATCATGCATCGATTTCAATTGATTAAGGCCCGGTATGGCCAGGTGGTTAAGTAACTCGACTCGCAATCTGAGGGTCGCGGGTTCGAATCCCAAACATGCTCGTGGGGGCGTTATAATGTGACGGTCAATCCCACTATTCGTTGGTAAAATTTGGCGGTTGGTGGTGTTGACTAGCTGCCTTTTCTCTAGTCTTTCACTGCTAAATTAGGGATAGATAGCCCTCGTGTAGCTTTGCGCGAAATTCAAAAAACAAACAAACATTTGATTAAGATGAACGGCTTTATTTGGAAAGCTCATAGAAAATTATTTTCTTAAGAAACATTTACGCTTTTGCCCTAGATGGTGTAAAAACAACTTTATTTTACGTTGCAACGAATTCCAATTTAAGACTTTAAACGTTTCAAACCCTATATCTTAAAAAAACCATATAAAACAACACAACAATCAAAGTTAGATATCCATTTAGTCTTTTAACAACAACAAAATAAGATGGTTAGGCCCTAGTAGTGACAAAATGACTATCTTTAACCCTCCGTGATAGTGACTTTATTGCTAACGTACACGTGATGTATGTTTCAATCTTTTTTTGGTGTTTTACAAACATCATTATTTGTCGGATACAGTTCATTGTAGTACCACCTGCTACACGAATATCACGCAGAGTTGTCTGTTAGGGCCTTCTAACTGGAGCTTCGACTAACAATAACTTTTGTGTGTGTTTGTAAGTTATCTCTTCGAACTCTGAATTAGTCGAGGAGAATCTACACACAGAATGCTCATAACCACAAGTCGTTATTAACAAACAAACTCGGTTAGTAACATTGACTTCTTGTCAGAATCATTACCCTTGTTATTTCAACCAAGTAATCAAGAGGTCATTGTTGGCATCATCTGTGAAACAGCACCTCCACATCAGCCACTTGATGAAACCGGTATGATTTATATGGAATATGTTTGTCTGCTCTCCTGCAAGGCCCCCAAATTACTCTGAGACTCGTGGGGGTCGCGACAACTTGCATCCCATACGTGATAGGGTCTTTACTGCCCCATAGAACCTCGTTTTCATCTTCCCTCCGGCTACGAGTGATGCATGGGTTCCTGGTTCAGAAATGGGTTCCCTTCTTTCACAATCAGGTTCCATACTGCTCTACCAATCGCCACTGGCATATTCTACTAGTATCTGTTGTCTTTCCTGGTGGTGAAATAGCTTATTGATGTTCACCAATAGCACTTTTTCTGTAAATAACAATGACCAAAGCTGGGGCTCAATTTCTCTGATTGGTAAAAGCTTTTCAGACCCTCTGTACGGTCCAAATGACTCTTGTTCTTTGTGTTGAACTTGTAACAACTAAGATACGACTGTCAAGGAACTTTACAGTATCGAAAGGCTGCAATCCAGGAGAGGACTTCCTCTGGATCTAACCATCATTGTTGCAGACCGCCCACAATCCAGGAGAGGACTTCCTCTGGATCTAACCATCATTGTTGCAGACCGCCCACAATCCAGGAGAGGACTTCCTCTGGATCTAACCATCATTGTTGCAGACCGCCCACAATCCAGGAGAGGACTTCCTCTGGATCTAACCATCATTGTTGCAGACCGCCCACAATCCAGGAGAGGACTTCCTCTGGATCTAACCATCATTGTTGCAGACCACCCATCTTCAACTTCTAACTCGTTTTCTCCCGGGTCGTACGCCCATCATCACGAGAAGAGAGCCATCTCTATGTATGCACAGAATTGTGGGTATTCACGTGAGTGTTAACAAGTCCTGTACTTTATCCACTCGGAACAAAAGCGAACCTTTACAATAATATTCTGGTCATGGCACCAAGTCATGGAGTGTGGCTGTGTATATTTGTACTCGGAGTTCGTCAGGAAGAAAAGTTCACATGCAGAAAATTCACAATCAAAATCTATATTACCAAACATGATTACAAACAAGACAAACCAACATGGGCAAATGTGATGGACTGGCGAGAGAGAGAGGAACTGGAACCTTTACTGAGATCGTCCACTAGACTACTGTGTGCCCCACCCCTCACCTGTTAATTGTTAATTAGTAAGTGAAGTCCAAGGTAGATCTAGAATTGGGAAGACGTATGTTTATTTGAGTGATTCTCTGTGTCCAAACTGAAAGAAAATATGGAAGTTTGGGGAAAGTTTACAAAAGCTTTATATTAAATAAGGGAAGTAAAAAAAAAAAAAAAAAAATCCACGGAACCATCCTTCACCACAGTAACATCAGAAATGTTGGATTGTGTTTAGTTTTGTATCTTCTTATCAAGATTATTGTTGTGTAGACGTCCATAAACAACAATGAACAGCTAACTCACGCCATACTCCAGTTCCAAGTTTTCCGAGAGTGGTTCTTACGCCATACTCCAGTTCCAAGTTTTCCGAGAGTGGTTCTTACGCCATACTCCAGTTCCAAGTTTTCCGAGAGTGGTTCTTACGCCATACTCCAGTTCCAAGTTTTCCGAGAGTGGTTCTTACGCCATACTCCAGTTCCAAGTTTTCCGAGAGTGGTTCTTACGCCATACTCCAGTTCCAAGTTTTCCG